AAAAAAAGCAGTTTTATGCAACATCTAGTATTTTAATTTCCCAGCTGCCAACAGAAATATAAGGAGCAGAAATTAAACTAATTATGCAGGCAGAGCAGTGAACAAAACTTTAATTGTATTACACATTAGTTAGACATTTGCAGAACAATACAAAGACCCTTAAGGATAGAAACTTCCTTGGAATATAAATGATTCCAATCAATATGACTAAAATTAGTCTGTTTGGGTACTAAAGAGATTTGTAGTTGAGATGCTAAATACTCAACCAACATCCCAATTTATATAAAAATACATAGTATAAGAAGCAAATCTCTAAAATGGTTTTAAATCACATTTGATTTACATATGCTATATTATAAAGGTCATTTAAGCCAGTCTTGTACTAATAAACCCCCCCCCTTTTTTTTTAACATCCTGTTCACAAAAGAAACTATTCATTTGGCTGGGAGACAGGTGTTAGCAACCAGCAACCTCTTTTTGGCTTGGAGTTCCAGGAGGTTGGCCTGCGATTATAGTGGCATGATTGGCAATTTCAAAGGAAGGGCAACTTGAAAGCGGGAAAGAGAAACAAAGGAAACTAGAAAATGGCAGACATGGAAAGAAATGGATGTCAGGTGCTGCCTGACGGGGCACCTCGAAGCCTCAGCCGGCTCTGAGCTCGCTGCCCCTGAGACAGATAAGTAAGATAAATCTGAACCACCTTCACTCATTCCAGAAGAGAGGAACTCAGAACACCGCTTCCACTTCACTCACTTTAAGAAGGGTCTTTATTTTGTTTTGTTTTGTTTGTTTTTAGGGCCACCCCAGAGATGCTCAGGGGTTATTCCTGGCTCTATTCTCAGAAGTCACTCCTGGAAGGGCTTGGGGGACCATATGGGATGCCAGTGGATCAAAGCCAGGTAGGCCACATGCAAGGCAAATGCTATTTTTTAAAAATTAATTTAAACTGTACTATTTTTTTAATTTTTTTTTCTTTTTGGGTCACACCCAGCGATGCTCAGGAATTACTCATGCAATTACACATGGGATGCTGGGGATCAAACCCGGGTCGGCCTCATGCAAGGCAAACGCCCTACCCTGTACTCTGGTCCCTGTACTAATTATTTTAAAATGAGGCTCTGGTCCCTTATTTTAAAGAGTTTTAAGTATTCAATGACTCATATTCCTAATCATATTCTAAGGTTTAACTTTCCCTTCTCATTCTAACTTTATTTTATTGTTGTTGGTTTTGTTTGGGGGGCCATACCAGTGATTGTAAGGCATTACTCTTGGTTCTGCACACAGGAAGTGCTCCTGGTGGTGCTTGGCAGAACAGATGGGATGTCAGAAATCGAACCCAGGTCAGCCAAGTGGAAAGCAAGCACCCTACCCACTGTACTACATCTCTCTGGCCCCTCTAACCTTTCCTTAAAACACTAATAGATATGTAAGGGACCTGGAGAGACAGAACAGGAGGTAAGGCATCGTGGTGGAAAAGGTACACTGGTGGAGGGATGGGTGTTTGATCATTGTACGACTGAAACTCAAACATGAAAGCTTTGTAGCTGTAGCTCATGGTGAGTCAATAAAAAATTAAAAAAAAAAAAAGGACTTGAGGTAAGGCACTTGACTTGCATGTGGCTGACCCAGGTTTCAATCTCCAAGAACACATATACACCCTTAAGCACCACCAAGGTCACTTCTGATCATAGAGCCAGGAGTTCCTGAGCACCTCTGGGTGTGGTTCTGGAACAAAAGCCAACAGAGTAGACATTAATAAAAGTATGAAGGTTCGGTTCCACACACAGATTATCTTCAGTGCTTCAGCTATAATAAAGAAATGAAACAAATGAAACATAACATCTTGGGCCGGAGCAATAGTACAGTGGGGAGGGTGTTTGCTTTGCATGCGACTGACCTGCATTTCATCCTCAGCATCCCATATGGTCCCCCGAACACTGCCAGGAGTAATTCCTGAGTGCAGAGCCAGGAGTAACTCCTGAGCATTGCTGGGTGTGAACCAAAAACCAAAACCAAACAAACAAAAAAAGACACATGACATCTTGCAAAATTTTTTTTCCGATTTGCTCTTGTTGGGGGCCACACCTTGCCAATATATGGGAGCTCCTCCCAGCATGATGCTCCAGGGATCATACCTGGGGCTTCTTCCTGCAAAGCAATTACTCAATCCCTTGAGTTCTCACTCCAAATACAAGTTTTATTTTAAAACCTACAGAGAATACCCTATCAGACACTATCATAACTAAATTCAACTACCTATTCACAGACTTCCAGCGGTTTCCACATTATCATTCATTTGTCCACTCAGGAGAAAGGAAGCTACATTCACCAGCTCTCCCACATGACTCCTGACAGATAAGGGGGGGATGGGGCCTGGGCACAGACTCAGTAATTTACATGAAAGTTATAAAAGCTCTTTGTTATCTATCAGGACAAGGAAATAGGCTATTCTAGCAAATCAAACATCCTGAATAACATAATGATGCTTTTAAAGAGACTATCAACTGAAAAAGAATTTCAAAGCAATGGAACAGTGGCTCCCAAACCTGGCTGCATATCAGAATCACTTGGGGAGCTCTTTGGAAATAGATACATTTTGCAATGTAGATTGTCAGCATCATTTATCCATTCCATCAAAAACTCTAGGAGGTGGAGCTGAGAAACCTATAGTTCTGAAGAATGCCTCGGTGACTCAGCAGCAACCTGCTAGGTAAGGAGTCTTTCAAGGAGCAGCTGGCTCTGGGGAACGCCAAGCAATAAAACACACTAGAAAGGCTAAAGCTGCACTGAAAACAATGTGACCTTTTGATGATTCAGGGAACTTTAGAATCTCCCGATACTTATTCATCATTACTATTAGACAAATCATTGTAGGAGCAAAACCAGAGAGTGAGGAAAGGTTAAGAAATTTTCCTTTTGGTAGAAAACTGGGAAAGCCAGCTTTTGTCTTTCTATTAGACGCAAAGAAGTGTTTTTTGTTTTGTTTTGTTTTGTTTTTGCCCCAGAGGAAACAGCTTTTATGCTTGTTTTGAAAAAGGACAATGTTTAAAAACATCAGTAGGAATCTCTTAGCCGACTGTTTAGCTGTGATTCAGGTCTAAAAGCATCAAAAGAGGGGAGAGGAAGGTTATTAGACAGTAGAGTGGGTAGGACGTTTACATTTACAGGAAGTCAACCCAGGTTCCCTCCCCGGCATCCCAAATGGTTCCCCAAGCACTGCCAGGAGTGATTCCTGAGTGTAGGGACAGAAGTAACCCCTAAACTCCACAGGGTGTGGCCCAGAAACAAACAAACAAAAGTGGATATTCAGTCCAAGTATGAGAAAGCAGAGAAACTTTATGATAGTTAATTAAGAGAATGGAAGATAATGGGCTTAAACAAAGAATGCCATTACAGGATGAAAAGGGGGGGGAAAAAAGCCTTGCCCATGGCAACAGTTAAATCCTAGAAACACAGAGAACAGAGGTCTTTCAACACTTGAGGCCAGTGATCCCTGCTATCTGGCTTTCATGTGGCCCACGGGAAGATATCCTGGGGCCAGAGAGAGTACAGAGAGTAAGGCTCCTTCCATGCACACTACAGACCTGGATTTAATCTTAACTTCAGGATCCCAGAGGGTCCCATGAGACCCTCCATGGAAGTTATCCCTAGACTCAGAGCCAGGAGTAAAACAGGTGTGCCCTCCCCCTCAAAAAAAAAAAAAAAAGATTATCCTAGCAAGAATCCAATTAGTTTAGGATTTCGGGGGGGGGGGGGGGGGGGGGGGGGGGAGATTTTTTTGAGGGAGAGGTCACACCTGGCAATGCTCAGGGCTTACTCCTGACTCTGCACTCAGGTTTCTCCTGGAAGACTCGGGGACCATATGAAGTACTGGGGATCAAACCCAAGTCAGCAGCGTGCAAGGCAAGAGCCCAACCCATTGTACTCTCTCTCCAGCCCCTGCTTTAATGATTTTTAAATTCCATGAATAATAAAGTCTATGCCAAACACAGTAACAACAAAGTCTCCAATGGAGACGTTACTGGGCCCGCTCGAGCAAATCAATGAACAACAGGAGGACCGTGACCGGGACCGTGACATACAAGAAGGGCTGGAGCGACAGCACAGCGGGTAGGGCGTTTGCCTTGCACGCAGCCCACGGGTTCGATTTCTCCACCCCTCTCAGAGCTACCGAGAGTATCCCGCCTGCACGGCAGAGCCTGGCAAGCTCCCCATGGCGTATCTGATATACCAAAAACAGTAACAACAAGTCTCACAACAGAGACGTTACTGGTGCCCGCTCGAGCAAATCGATGAACAATGGGAGGACAGTGCTACAGAGCTACATACAAGGGATGAGATCCAATTCTCTATTGAATAAACGGAGTGCTGTGTGGTGGATGTAAAAGATTATCCTGACAAGCGCCAAAATCTACCTGTAAAACACAAGTAAGCACAAGAAAACAAAAAAGGCTCACCAGCAGCATCCATTACCAAATCAGTAACTATCACCAAACAGCAACAACAAAAACAAAGCAGCTCTTCCCCCTGGGACTTCACCAACAGCAATTTAAGCACCACTTTCTCATTAAACTCTAAATTTTATCTTAGGCCTGTAGAGCAGAGGTTAAATCTTTTCCTCCCAAAATATAAAGACAATACATGTGGAATGTCTCAAATCCACCACTAACACAATACCAGTATTTAATGCACGAGACCTGGGTTTAATTTCCATCACCACAAAAAATATAAAGAGAAAAAAAATTGTGATGGGCCAAGGATAGAGCACTGCTTGCCTTACACATGTGAGGCCCTAGGTTCCATGACCAGCATAGCAAAAATAAATAAGTGGATAAAATAAGATAGTACGAAAGCAGAAGGTCACACTGCTGCTCCATGGCAGTTTCTCTCTCTGCTCCATGATTCAGGGCATGCAGTCACTAGTCCAGTCACGAAGGACAGACGGGTGGATGACAGCTGGGTTGACGGCAAGTTGCCAGCAGCATTTGCCCTTAGTGGCGATGACTTTGCCCCTCAATCCCGAACATTTCCTCAATGAATTAACAGAAAAACCATTAATGGGGAAATTTAAGTTGGGAATGGAGTTCCAGGGCTACCCAGAGTCTGCAGATGGCTGCATGAACGTGCAGCTTGCAAATACAAAAGGGTACAGAGACGGAGTATTGTCTGGACATCTGAGTGTTGTTTTAATAAGGTGTAGTAATGTCCTTTATACCAGAAATATTGAAGAAGAGGAAGAAGATGGGGTAATAAGAGAACAGCGTCTTTGGAGGGACTTTTTTTGGATAGATACTTCTAGACAATAAAGATTTGGTTTTTGGAAAAAATTTTTAAGAAGATAGCAGTATTAAAGATTTGATTATAAGAATGAAAAAAAAATCAAGGCGGGGAACTGGAGAGACAGTTCAAGTGGTGATGGAGCATATGCCTGAGGGCACGTCTAAGCCCTGACTCTGATTCCAAAGTACCACATACCCTCCCCTTCAATGCCCAGCTCCTGGCCCAGCCACAGGTGCTATGAGTCCCTCTGGGTGTGGCCCAGGGCCCCACTACCACCAAAGCACCAAACCAGTCAGGCCTGCAACACCAGGTGAAGCATCAGAGTGTGGTTCCTACTTAAAAAAAAAAAAAAAATCAAGGGATCAGAGAGTACAGCAGTTAAGGCCCCATGTCTGCCAGAAGTGATCCCTGAGCACAGACTCAGAAGCATGCCCTGAGCACTGCCCAGTATGGCCCAGAAACAAACCCAAATAAATAAATAAATAATTTTTAAATTACTTTTTAAAAATCAAGGTAGAAAGGCTGGGGTGTAGTTCAAAGATAGAATGACTGGCAATTGTGAGGCTCTGGCACCACCAAAATAATAATAATAATAATGATAATAATAATAAATAATAAAGGGACTGGTGAGAGAAGGTAGGGGCATTTCCAGTTACATTTTCATTGGAACTGAAAATGTTTTTTTCCACAACTATTTTAAGAACGCTTAAAGAGGCATTCATATTTAAAAAGTGTTAAGCAGTTAACAGAATTGGCAGTGAAAATGTTGAAATTTAGTTTCTCCAGAGGGCTGAAGAGATAATTCAGCAGAGTGCTTGCCTTGCACATGGCCAACCTGGGTTCTGTCCCTGGCATCCCACGTGGTCCCCCAAACCTCATAGGCATGATCCCTGAGTGCAGGATCAGGAGTAAGCCCCAAGCACTGCCAGGTGTGGCCCAAAAATCAAAGAAAGGAAAAGAAAATTAGTTTCTTCACTTTCTGTGAACAGTTGTCACTTGACTTATTATTTTACCAACTGATTAAATCAAGTCAACATAGAGGATTTATTGCCGCTGGCCCCAGTGTCAACAGAGTAACAGCTGGCCTACCTGATCACAGTCCTCACAATGAGAGACGGAAATTAACGAGTGTCTCTGTGTGCCAAGCTTATAGAAAACTTTTCTTGCAACAATCAAATTATTAATCCTGCCAAGATGAACCCCCTGAATGTTAATACACTTTCCCAGTTTAACTCCACCTCAAAATAAACCCTAACTCCTGAGCTGCCCCCCTCTGAAGCCCAGACTTTGCAGGAACTGTGCTTCGAAGTTTCAGAAGTGCCGGCCCACCGCCACCCAATTTCTGTGGGCCGGAAGATACTGAAGTGGAGGGGGAAAGGGCATAGGGGCAAGCTCTACCCGTGGGCTGGGAGGGGAAGCCGCATTGCCAGCCGCCGGGCCCTAGGACTCTGCACACACCCCGGGCCCAGCATCCCGGTGCCCAGGCCTTCTCCGGTTCCTAGAAAAACGGTGCCATCAACGACATTTCTCTGACTTGCACTGAGACGGGGAAACCACCAGGCTTCCTGTAGCAAAGCCGGGCCACACCAGTCTTCTCTGACCTGCATGGAGGTACCCACCGCTCCACCGCTTTCTGGCCACATGTACGGGGAAGGGGAGGGGGCTCAGCATGTCACTGGAGTGGCCTCTGGCCAGAACACAAAGAGGACAGTCATGGGGGAGGCCCACGAGGGGAGTAGGGGAGAGCAGGGCACTCACTTCCTCGCTGATCTCAGTCCTCCTCCCTCCAGCAAATGACAGCAACCTCAAAGGGCGGAGGGGATGTGGTTCTGCCCTAGGACAAGTCACCCGGGGAGGCCCCTCTCCCCCTCCCGGAGGAGGTGCATGCAAGGCCCAACATGTGGTCAACTCCTAAGGGCAGGAACCGGCCCCACTTCAGAGTCCCCGACCTGCCTCAGTGTCCCTCTACGGTGGTGGCGACCCTTGATCCGCACACCCAAAGCCAATCGCGATGGAGGAAGAGCTGGGAATTCGTGTATCCACACACACTCTCAAACACAGACACACACATACACACACAGTCTCACACACACTCAGACACACACACTCACACACACATACAGACACACACAGACACACAGACCCATAAACACACACTCATACACACACATCAGAGACACACAGTCTCACACACAGACACACACACTCACAGACACACACACTGAGACACACAAACTCACACACACGCACACTCACATACACACAAACAGACACGGACACTCACATACACACAGACACACACATTCATACACACTCACACAGACTCATACACACTCACATACACACAGACACTCATACACACACACTCACACACACTGGCTCACACAAATACACACAGACACACACCACGCACACACGGACACCCACAGACACACAGACACACAGAGACACACTCATACACACTCACACACTCACACACACACACACACACACTCCGGGGCACCGCTCCCGGGAGCGCTGTCCGGCACAGGTGCGGGCTCCCCTGGGCGGGCCGCCCCGACCCCGACCCCGACCCCGGCCGCGCCCGGCCCCCCGGCGACCCCCGCCCCGCCGCCTCACCTGCCGGCCGCCGGCCCGGCCCGCACCTGGGAGCGGGGGGTGGCGGCTCCGGGCCGCGACGCCTCAGGCCGGGGGGCTCCGGGCTCCGCCGCGGCGGCGTCTCCGGGGCTGAGGGGCGCCGGGGGGCGGTCGCGACATCTTCACCGGCGGCCCCAGGAAGTCGGCCCCCCGCCCCCCCTCGCCTGCTGGCCCGGCCCGGCCGCTCCCGCCCCTCGCGCGGCCCCGCCCCCGGCGAGGCCCCGCCCCCGTCCCGGGAACGCGCGCCGCTCCCGCCGCGTACCCGCCACCATCGAGAGGGCCCGGCGCGGGCGGCCCCGTGAGCGGCCGGGCCCGCGCGCGCGCCCCCTGGCGGAGCGTCGGTTCCCGACCCGCCCCGGGCCGCCCCGCGGGGACTCGGGTCACGGGGACGCTGGGCGGAGCCGGGGCGAAGGCGCTGGTCCAAGGCCCAGCGGAGCCTGTGTGCCAGCTCCATGGACTTGGGCGCGTAGCTGCGGCTTTCTGAACTCTGGACATAGTGGCCGTCTGGGAAAGTTGCCTCCCGGTCAGCACCTCGTTGCGCAACAAGATGGTTCCCATTCTTGGACGGAGGACACCCAGCTCCGTGGGGAGTCGGGGCTTAGTCCAGCGCCAGTCGTTGGCAGGTCTTAGAACATAAAAACCCATAGTTAGGGCCGGAGAGCATGCCTTGCGTGCAGAAGAGCTGGTTCACGGCCAGGAACAACCTGGGAGAATAAAGCTAGGAGGAGCCCCTGGGCACGTGGGTGGGGCCCCCAGCCCCAAGTTTGTCCTTTCGAGCCTAGCTTTTTCTGATCGTTTAAACCCCTAGAGTTGGGGCTGGAGCGACAGGACAGCTTGCCTTGCACGTCGCCAAGCCAGGTTTGATCTTTGGCATCCCCTAGGCTCCACTGAGCACCTTCAGGAGTGATCCCTGAGCAACTACAAAAAGTTTAATTTTAAAAATAACCCACCCACCCCCCACCCCCGTGTTACCTCTTTCACCTGAGACAGGTGAGGAAGTGCGTGAGGAAGGCATTGGCTCATGAAAATGATTCTCACCTGGCGGTTCTGCAGGTGACTTTCTGCTTCTCTGAACGCATCTCATCCCTTTTCAGGTTGGTATGAGGTTTGAATATGCTCTAATGTATATGCAAGTGCTTAGTAAACTCTAAAGGAAAGCACCAGGGTTACTGAATAAGGAATCATTGGCAGATGAGGGGGGCTGGTTAAGACATCTACTCATGTAGAGAACATAAATAATAATCCTGATAGGTGTCTGTTACCCTTCCTTTCCTCTTGCTTTAGGATTCCTTTTGAGACCTTCCAAGTTCTGAATTTTTTATTTGTATTATTAAAATATTGCCCAGAGAGAGAGGTCAAAAATGGGGGCACTTGTCCTTCATATGACAACCCGTGTTCGATCCCCAGCACTTCATATGATTCCCCCATGACAGGCCAGGGGTGATCCCTAAGCAAAGAGCCAGGAGTAAATCTTGAGCACAGCCAAGTGCTGGCCCCAACCCCCCCCCCCCCCAACACAGAGTTGTCAATGCTACACAGAAGTGAAGGTAACAGTACATGACAACCCTATGGCTTTACAAGCATTATTTCCAGTCTTCATAATAACCTAGCAAGCTATTCTCCCTCCCAGGTTAGTAAAATCTGCAGATCAAATCATTTGCTCAAAGCCACCCCATTAGAAAAAGTCCAAGGTAGAATTCTAAACCAGCACCAGCAAAATGAGCACCAGTGGGCAGAGCCTACCAGAGCCCTCCTGCCTGGAAATGTGGAAATGTGCCCATCTTTCCCTACCCAGCTTTTGGGCTAACGTGTGTGTGTGTGTGTGTGTGTGTGTGTGTGTGTGTGTTTGGGGTCACACCCAGCAATGCACAGGGGTTACTCCTGGCTTTGCACTCAGAAATTACTCCTGGCGGTGCTCAGGGGACCATATGGGATGCTGGGAATCGAACCCTGGTCAGCCGAGTGCAAGGCAAACGCCCTACCCGCTGTACTATCGCTCCAGCCCTGGGCTAACTTTTCTTGATGCAGTTCCCTGTCCTCTGCTGCTCTCTTTTCTCCCCATGAAGGAAGGCAGTCTCCCTGTTTTCCCTCTCTGGTTCCTCAGAGGCAGGACCAGGTTCGTCCTCTCTTGTTTCTGAGATGAATTGATGACTTGTGATTAAGGCACAGCACTCGCCCATCTCGCCTTCTCTGGCTGTTAATTACATAGCCACAGAAAGGTAATAGGTCTAGAACAAGGGCTGGGTGAGACCTAGAGATACCTCTGTATAAGCTTACTTTACAAGCTTCGTGCTGCATTGTGGAGAGATACTACTGCTCATAGGGGAGCTTGCCATGTTTGAGGCCAACCAGATTCAATTCCCCAGACCCCACTGGGTCCCCTGGGTCCTGCCAGGAGCAATCCCTGAATACAGAGCCAGGTGCAGCCCCAAAACAAAACAAAACAAAATACAAGCTGAAGGCTCATGATAGGACTTGTGCTTTACCTACTTTCTGGACTCTCATTATTGGCATCTGGACTCCTGGAAACCTGCAGAAATCACGATTTTCTGAGCCCTCTGTTCCATATTACAGCTAGATCATTGGAGCGCTGCTTACTAATAATGTGCAGATCACTGAAGCAAAGAGATCCGTGTGCAGCATTTAGCCGTACTCCTTTCTCCACCGTTAGCATTAGCACCGTGCTATTTTTCATCTTTACTGTGCCCTTCCGCACAGGCACTCAATAATGTACCCATTGTGCAAGAACTCTGGAATCCTTTACGGCAAGCAGTAGTATTTAGTTGTAATAAAACACTAATTTGTCTGCCAAGCGACATATTTATAGGAGCTGTTTACTTTGACATACTTTTATTATTTCTACTCATTTAGTAAGTACTTTCCAATACATATTTATGAAGCACATGCCTTTCCCCAAACAGCGGTGAAAAAATAAATCACGTTATTTCTTTTATTACCAGCAGCCTGGCTTATAAGTCCTAGTGCCCTGATTTCTGTTACCTCCAAAGAGCAGGAACAATAAATGGTGACTGAGTACCTACTATGTGCCAGAGTCTCTGAGAAAAGCAGCTTACATGAATTCTCCATTTAATTACTCCTGAGACATATATATTTTATTAAAAATTTTTTAATAGTTAGACATCATGAGGTACAGTTGCAGACTTACACATTTTTGTGCTTGGGTTTCAATTATACAATGATCAAATACCCATCCCTCCACCAGTGCCCATTTCCCACCACCCCCTGAGACATATATTTTACCAGGAGGAAAAATGGAATTGCCCTATAATATAGATTTTTACCAAGGAGATAAACATTAACTTTGTCCAAAGAATTCTCCAGAATGACCCCAGTAGAATTTTGTTCATTATTTATTTTGGGGGTGTTATACTTGGCAGTACTCAGAAGCTACTCCTGGGTCTGTGCTCAAGGGTCGTTCTTGAAAGTGCTCAGGAGACCACATAGGGTGTTGGAGATACAACTGGAGTTAGCCATATGCTAGGCAAGCCCCTTAATCCTGTACTGTCTCTCCAGCCCCTTGCAAAGTTTTGAACTCAGATCTTTTCCTGATTCCAGTAATCTCAACTCATCAATGCACTTCACCAGCTCCCTCTTGTGTCCCTGGTAAGTTCTGTAACATATAAAATACTCCTTTCAAGGGGCCAGAGAGAGAATACAGCACTCAGGGTGCTTGCCTTGCACGGAGCAGACCCGAGTTCAATCCCTGAGCATCGCTAAGAGTGATCCCTACACTAATAAAAAAAAAATGATCCCTACATTCAGAGCCAGGAATAAGCCTTAAGCACAATTGGGTGTGGCCCAAAAACCAAAACCAGAAACAACAACAAAATTCTTCCGAGAGAGATTGCATTGTTTACCCAACAATGGAAGTTAAAGCTGAGTAGGCACAGGATGGGAATCTGTTATCTATGGAGAATAACCTCTGAGGGAGTTTGTCCCTAAGAAACCAAAGGTGGTGAGTGGGGGCGGGAGGTACAGTATAAAGGTTAAAGTGCTTGCCGTGCACACAGCTCACCCCAGTTCAGTCCCCTGTACTTCGTGGTCTCCAAAGATCATAGGGAGCAATCCCCTTAGCACTGGCATGTTTGCCCACACACAAAAACAGAGAAATCAGAGGCACAGTGTTTCCCAGAGGGAAGGGCCAAGAACAAGTCCTCAATTCTGGAGACCAGCCTGGCTGGTCTGCAGGATATAGCATAAAATGTCACTGTCACTGTCCTCCCGTTGTTCATTGATTTTGCTCCAGCGGGCCCAGTAACATCTCCATTGTGACACTGGTTACTGTGTTTGGCATATCAAATACATCACGGGTAGTTTGCCAGGCTCTGCCGTGCAGGCGAGATACTCTTGGTAGCTTGCTGGGCTCTCTGAGAGGGGCAGAGGAATCGAACCTGGGTCGGCCGGGTCAGCCACATGCAAGGAAAATGCCCTACCCACTGTTCTATTGCTCCAGCCCAGCATAAAATGTAATATCAAGAATACTGTTCAGGGGAGGGAGTGATAGGACAGCAGGTACGGTGCTTGTCTTGCATGCAGCTGAGCTGGGTCCGATCTCCAACATCCCAGATGGTCCCTCAAGCACTGCCAGAAGTAGTTCCTGAGTGCAGAGCCAGGAGAAACCCCTGAGCATCACTGGGTGTGATTCCCCCACATCCCCCCAAAAAATCAAAAAATGGAACATTGTTCAAAGGCTGGAGCGACAGCACAGCAGTAGGGTGTTTGCCTTGCGTGCAGCCGGCCTGGCCAAGTCAGGTTTTATTCCTCCGCCCCTCTCAGAGAACCCGGCAAGCTACCGAGAGTATCTCACCCTCACAGCAAAGCCTGGCAAGCTACCAGTGACATATTCAATGTGCCAAACACAGTAACAACAAGTCTCACGATGGAGATGTTACTGGGCCCAGTCAAGCAAATCGATGAACAACGGGAGGACCATGACCATGCCGTGTTCAAAGACTATCAAGAATTTCAAGATGCGGGGCTAGAAAGATAGTAAGGTATTTTTGCATGCTGCAAAGTATGACTTGGATTTGACCCCTGACACTCTAGATGGTCCCCCAAGGAGTGATCCCTGAGCTCAGAGGCATGAGTAAGCCCTGAGCATTACAGGGTGTGGCCCATAAATTGAAACCAAAAACAGACAAGGAATTTCAAGAGATAGTCATGGACTGGAGAGATACTACCGCAGGTAGGGTGCTTGCCTTGTACAGAGCCAATGTTGATGGTCCCCTGAGCACCACCAGGAGTAATTCCTGAGTGCAGAATTAGTAGTAAATCCCGAACA